ACACACACACACACCAGCAGTGTTATCTTCTATAGCAATGTTTTAATTTGGCCTAATCATGCACATTTTATCTTTTCAAGGTTATATGAAACCTTGCAGAGTGCACACACAGATGGGTCATTTTCTGCCCACATATGGCCCATTCCTGTAAATCCCTTCTATCTCATTTATTCCCACACAATGGCTATTCAATAATTCAAGAAATCTCTGTGCAGAACATGTTGCAACATACAGGAGAGTTACAGGCTTTTTCAGAAAGCTGGAATACACCAGGGATTTGCAAACAACAGCCGCAGAACCATGGAACAGCAGTGGGAACACTGGAGAACATGGCTGACAAGATCTTATTAAAATACATTAGAACTGACAGGAGACATTAAGCACTAAACACTGTAAAGGATTCTTTCTAAAACCCCAAGGATGATATTGAGCATGGTGAGTACTTTTATGTTTAGCATTTGCTTAGCGTTGGTCTTCAAGGCATCTTACCTTCAGAAATATCTTAAATATCGTCTTAAACACTCACACAGATATTATCATAATGTCTATGACAAAGTTCCTGATGCGTTAGCAGGTAATCTACCCACTTTTCATCATGTCTGTAGCATTTTTAAATATATTTTTTTCTGTTATATAACACAACAAACAGAAGGTCACTAAGTTACATTAGATGACATATATTTGAACTGTCATACTTTCCATGCTGTTTACAATATCTGTCCTTTCGTTCGGGTAGGGAGGCTCCTTAAAAAGACATCCAGATCTTTAGGTATGCTTCTTAAGTAAAGAAAGAGACAAGTGAGCTGAATACTAAATCCTAATATACTCTTAATGGTGACCTGAACATCAAGGTGTGCACATTGTCTCCAGCATTGATTCTGAGGTCCAGTTTGTTTTGGTTTTATTTTTTGGGGTTATGAAAAACCTAACAGTTCTTCCAGCATGGATGATGCAAGTCCATCCCTGCAGAGAAATTTCAACATCCAATTCTTTTCCCCCACTTTTGCTTCCTATAGTCTGTTGCGTTGCTCTTCAACAATACTATTCTTAGATACAGGCTCTCAATAAACCGTCTGATGGGTTCTGAGTTGCATGCATATTTTTTGGACTAAGAGAGGAAGTCTACTAATTCCCATCATTTACTAAAAAAAATATGATGTTATAACATGCCTTACCCATTGTCTATCATATGCTACCCACTCAAGTAATTTGATGTTTCTCTGAATCTGAAACTCACGAAATCTAACCATATAAAGAAAAGCAAACCCACTGATTATATTGGATAGCGGACAGCCCAACAAAGATTGCACAAGTCTACCTAGCATTGATAATTCAATGTTTTTCCAGCTGGCATCATATTCAGGATTACACCAAAGAATCAATGGTCTTAATTGTGCTGCTACATAATCCCTCAGGCACAGAAAGCCAGCCCTCCGCCTCCTTTGGCAACGGCAGTGTAGTATATTATTTGTGGTTTTCTGCTGTCCTACATAAACATTGATATTTCCTTGTCTCGTGCTCTAAATTGTGTCAGGAATATGGACTGGTAATGATTGAAACAGATTTAATAATCTGGGCAATATGTTAATTTTGATGGTCGTTATCTGGATGCCAAAGTCAAAGGGGAGCTCTATCTGTTAAGATTGCTGCATATCTTTTGGTATGTATAGTAATCATTTTAGAGGGGAGATGTGTCCTTTTTCAGTTTTATTCCAAAATATTTAATACTTTTAGACCTCTTTTAAGTTACTGTGGGGGGTTAAAATGAAAGACTAAGGCTTGGACAAGGACATTGTGTTCATAGAGACATTGCGTTTTGTGCCTTTTATCATAATACCCTCAAGGGCTGTCTCTTGTCTTGTCTCGTATTAATAGAACGGTTCATTGAATAGGTTGAAGAGTCCTGGGCTAACCCCGTCAGCATCCTCATTGTAAGTCTATAGTCTTGGATAGATGGCTGTCTCTATTCTCAGTTTGGTACATATGTACAAGTTTCTTGCAGAAATGTCTGTGGCATTTGGATGATTACAGGTGTACATGCTGTATTTCTCTTCTTTATGGAGATGTTAATTTTTTTTTAACCTGATTTTAAAAATGTGTGTGTGACGAACATATTTTTCCTGGCCATTTTCTTGAATTATACAACTATTGACTAAGGTGATATATTTGAAAGTAAGTCTACTCTTTTCTTCTACAAATATTGGTCAATTAACAGTAAAGGTTGTCTGTTATCTTCAGATTTGCTATTACTGGCACATAAAGTTTCTATGTGTAACAGTAATTTCTGTGCTATAAAAAGACTCAATTCAAGCCTCTTCTGTTGATTAAACTTTATATACATGGTGTCATCCGCACACAATATAAAGAGATTGAGGACTATCAACAAAACAGATGGATTACAGTTTGGTTACAGTAGTAGACATTAAAAAAAGTTGTAAAATGGGTGATGAGAAAATGATGCACCTTGTCCCTTAACTCATGTTGTATAACTCATGCAGTTTTGGAGGGTGTAGGTTGCCACGGTATCCAACAGCCAACCACGTGTCACAACTGTAGCTTGTTTAGAGAGACCTGTTGGGCAGACAAAAGAGGGTTTTTGAGAAAGTCTACAAATGACAAAATTATATGTATGTACTGTACATCCATAATATTTGGAATTGGTGTAATGTAAGGATCGGAGAAGCTAAATTAGCAACAAATGGGAGACTGTTTTTCTTGTTGTTGTCAGGCCACCAACTAACCCTTCTATCCACTAAGGTAAAACTAACATCAATACAGAATCAGATATCTTGCCCCTTTGTAGCCATCAATCTTATAACACTAGAGAGCCTGTAAACGTATATTTAATGCTTTAGCTCTGAAATAACATTAAGAGCTATCAGTTCTGAACCAGAAAGAATGTCAGTATTCCCAGAAACTGTGCTGAACCTTTTTTTGTTCATTTGACCTGAAAAACAGTTCCTTGCCCATCATCACAGATCATGCAAATTTAGTAAAATATGCGTTATGTTCCTTTAAGGCGATAACCTCACTTTACATGTCCAGAATATGTCTTGTAAAACACAATCTGGAGTGTGTGCACACATACTCGAACATTTCGATTACATCAGAGGGACGGTTGAGAGAAAAAGAGTGATGTGTGTGATTTCAATCAATGATGCAGAAGAAGAGGATAAAGGGGGAGAGAGAGAGAAAGGGAGGGCGATAGGCTACTCGATTACCTGGGCTATGAGTGCCAGAGGACGTGGCAGAGGCAAAGCTGCATTAAATATGCAGCAGTACAAATTAGGATGCCAGGAGAAGGGAGGGAGGGGGGTGGACTTGCTCCCTCTCTGTTTCAAACTGTCAGCTCTCCTCTTGCAATGGCAGCCTCTCTCTTCTGTGGCCAACTTGTTTTGACATTTCCCCCCGCTCCAATCTGACATCTTCTCCTGGCCATTTCTCTGCTGCCTAACTTGCTTCACACTCGTTTTCCTGGCAAGTCACTCCTCTCCCCTCCCCTTTTGTTGGGAACCTGTCTCATTTTGGCTGGCAGTGTCTGCCATTTCACCGTTCTGTCACTCTCAAACTGGTCCTCGCACGGGCACAAACACATTCAAATCCACGTACTAATGGACACACAGGTGCACACTCCTGCACACAAGCCAGAATATCTATGTTTGTGGGGACCATCGGCTCATTCAAATGAAAAAACTGACTGTAAACAATATTTCAACCAGTCACCAATACAGTAAATTAATGTTTAGTTGGCTTATTATGTATTCACATATTTATTGACTTTAGCCCAAAACCTGGCCCTTATCAGCCCCTTTAAAAAAAGGTTGACAGTCAAGATACTTTGCGGATGATCATGTGATATTATAGGACCTTTTTAACACAAATAATGTGGATAAGACAAATAGGTAAAAATATATTGGATTTATATTATTTATTTATTATTATCATTATTATTATTATTATTATTACATCCTACATAATTAATTAACTAATTAAAACTAATTATAGTCAACAGTTGAATCACATAAAACAGTTTATTGGGCATTAGCAGATATAAGCCCATGAAGACATTGGGCTTATATCATTGGAACGCTAGCTATATAGGTATCATGTTAGCTGCCATTAAAATCCTGCTCCATTCCCAAACCACCTTACTTTTTTTTGGTCACCAAATTGTACCTTCTGCCATAGCGTCCTTAAACAAGGCATCCCGTTAACAGCCGTGAGTGAGTGCCTCGCACAGGACAGGGAGGGGTA